TCTCTTCTAAGTTCTTTCCACTCCACTGTGATTGATTGTTAAGGATGATATTATCAGGTCAAAATTAAAATTGGAATAATCATGGTTCAAATCACATGATGGCACCTACTTATGAATTAATTTTCAATAAGGTTAGGTGGTTGTCCCATGAGATTGGTCGAGGTGCTCGTAAACTGGCCTGCACGCTCGCGAATATCAACTAATCTCACCATGTAGCTGCTCGACCCTACGACATTTGTATCGAGAAACATATAAGAATTAATTCATAGGTAGTCATCATGTGTTTGGAACTCATTCCCTCTCAATTTACTCTAACCTCTTTGGAAAAATCCTCTCAATTTACTCTATCCTATTTGGACCAATGAGCTACCCCATGATAGTTCTAAAGTCATATATACTTGAGAGGTATGGGTAGAAATAGAAAATGAAATTGTATGTGTGATCCTTTTTTTTAATGGTTTAGGCGTGTTTCAATTTGATCTTCTGATTTTAAAAAGTTTCATTTTAGTCCCTATGATTTCAACTTAAAATTTATTTTTTTAAAAAAAAAACTTCAATTAGATCCGAGTTATTCAATGAATATCTTACAAATTATCGATGTTATTATTATTTTAACTCTTTTAATGTGGCAATGAGTTAATATTTTTTATTTAACTATTTGTGTTAGTTGACTTTATATTAGAGTTTTGAGCCGAGTAAAAAATAGGAGTAAATAGGTGGACTTTTTTTCAAGTGGATAAGACAATTTGTGACTTTTATCCGAATCATAGCAGAAATTAAGTTTGAATTTTTAAAATTACAGAGACCAAATTAAAATTATAAGGAATAAATGGAATCTTATAAAGTCATATATGACTAAATTTATAATAAACCACATAAAAGTTATGGTATAGCATAATTTAATTCCTATAACCACGCATGACACTAAATATTATGAAGTATACAAATTATTTAGAAAACAAAAACCTTTCAATGGTAAGAATTATATAGAAACAACTAGCTGAATATTGATGCAATAGTATTAATTTGACATGTTGATCATTTGATATTTATTAATAATGTATGACAAAAATTATTGAATATAAATGTCAGATATTGAGCAATTATAGAAAACTATTAAGTAATTTTTATCCTCAATCATACACGTGTCGGTTTGTGATTTGTCTATAGGTGTAAGACAATTGGATTTTGCATCTCATATTTCAAACCCATAAACATAAATAAGTTCAACTTTAACACGACAAGGAATCAAAACTTTTGATTGCTTGAAGAAGCTAATGGATTCGTCTTGGTTTGTTCAACTGCAGAACCAAATTCATGTCCTAATCAAATATCCATAAAAGATTTCCCAGCTAATAATTTACTATTTTAGACTTTTAAAATGTATATTTTAATATCTAAATTGTTAATAATATAATTATTTAATGGATAATGTGTGACTTTGATTATATATCAACATATCGACATTCTCGTTTCGAGTTGTGGGTAAGATATATTATCTTAAATTTTCAGTTGTTAATTATATAGTATTTATAAACATTATACTCTAAATGCCATTCATTTTAATATCAATAATAATACACCATCTTTCTCAAAAAAAAAAAAAAATATATATATATATATATAATAATAATAATAATACACTAGTCATTTAAGAATCTAATTTCCATAAAATAATATGTGATTGTGCTATCAAATGAAACCATCAAAATCAATTGTGGGTTTGGTTAAACTAACCCATGAAAATATTTTAGGTTTAACTACTAACATTGAAAAGCATATACATATATTTATATCAATATCTTTTTATCATGATTTTTACACAAATAGAGCAATGTTAAATTAATATCATATAGAACTACATCACTTTATTACATGAATTCTTAAAACTTAGTATTAGTTTATTTTTTTAATACTCCATAAAGGAAACAAGATGTACAACACTCAATATTAGTTTACTACACAATCAAGATTGAAATTGTAAAATAATTAGATCAAATATCATTTATAAATACTAAAAAATAGGGATGAGAGTTGATGCTTTTGCAAGGTTTTGTGTTTGGAAGAATATGAGCTAGAATTTGCTCCCCACTAAATTACCTGTTTGGGGGAATATATTTACAAGTTGTGGTATTGGTGTGACTGAGTTGTGATTTTATGTTTGTAGTTTTCTTCTTGGTATCAACCACTTTTTCCTTTTCTCTCTCTCTTTTTTTCCTTTTTCAAATCCAAACCAAGCCTTCTTCTTCATGGTATTACAAATAATATTACATCCCTTTTGAAAGGAATTGTAAAAACTTTGAACAATTCATATTAACAAGCAGCAATAGTTTGATATTCAATCTTAAACGACACTAACTATCAGATTACGTCATCACATCAAAATTTTGTTTAATGAAACGTCATCTTTGCAAAGAAACTACCAAGAAAACTTTTGTTACTAAATAGTACATAAATTTTGTAATGTCAATCAAAATATAACTCAAGTGGTTGAAATATTATTAATGAATAATAATTGTTTGGGGGTAAAAATATTTGGGACACGTGGAGGACACTCATTGGTGTTCAAGGAATAAAGTATCCCAGGTCCACCTCGAACCTGCTAAGGAGACTGGGTTCGCCCATCGTGGTGGCTAAGTGTAAAAAGCCCCGGTCCGACCTGGACGAGTTCAATTTGCTCAAACCCGACAGGTTCGACATAAAAAATGACAAAGGTAACCGCCTGTCGTGAGTACTGTTGGACACACCACCTATAAATAGAGGGCATCATTTCACGCTCAGGTATCGAATCTCATCTCGAACTTTATATTGAGCCCGACCTACACTGACTTGAGCATCGGAGAGTTTGCCCTTTTGTGCAGGTTCACTCTTGAGTTCAGGTCAACTCAGGACCGGGTTCGAGCTTGATTCATTTAACAGCGTTGTGCAATTCTTTGCGTAAACAATAATAAAATTAAAACTTCCCTGTGGGAGGAGGTTACAAATTGGAAATTATGGGCCTAACCAGACATTGTCGAAATTGGGCTATCTTGGGGGCTGATTTGGTAAAATTGAACCATTCTCGGAATAAACATTATACTAAAAATATATACACACATTTATGTGGTATTAAAGTTTTAAATTCATCGATCAGGGGTTCGATCTCATGATATTTTTGTCAGAGATAGGTGTCTTAACCACGTGTACTATGCTCGATTCAATTTCATGACATTTTGGTCAGTACTTTAACCACGTGAACTATGCTCGATTTGGCGGGAATAATTATTATTTATTAAATTATGCTGTGAATGCTTTTATATTATTCTTGTATTGTAACCCACTCCTTTTGTCTGTCTTTTGAATATTGACCATTCAAACCATGTCAACATACAAACATATCTTACTAATACGGGTACAGATTTTTTTTCCCTTTTTTCAATTCAATACATTTAAAATCAGTAATAAAATAAACAAATTATTCTGTATATAATTAAAGAACTAGAGAGAAGAATTCTATAATCTTAATGGTAGCATATAATTTCAAACGGATTCCTCTGACTTTTATTAATAACTATTTCTAATATGTTTTTTTTAGCATTATAACTCCGCATATTTCTAGTACTTTTAAATTTACTAGTTAACCTAACTAGCGTACAAGCAAACAAGTTAGGTCGATGCATAGTACTAGTTAACCTAACTAGCATACAAATAAACAAGTTACGTTGATGACATATAAATCTTTTACATATATTCAATTAAAAGATTGAAAAAATTAAAATTCTCACTTCATTGTACCATTCTTCGAACATAAAAATAAAAAATTAAGCTAAATATTTTTTAACATATTGAATAATCAATTTTGTAATACAATTTTCTTAATTTCTACGATGTTTTCATTTTTCATGTGATGTTTTAACTAACATTAAATTAATCTTGTTATAATCATGGTTCTAAATATCCCCATGTTTTTTTATTTTTCTAACTTCGATAAATATTTATTTTTCTAACATTTACAGAAATATTGGTTATATAACTCTATCTATATCTCAAGAATGGATGGTTGAATCTCACTGAAATCTGATGTACTCAATCTTTCCTTCCACATATATATTCAAAATGTGAGGTAAATAAAAAAATGTAATTCAAAAAAGCCTTAAATATCTGAGCCTCTCTGCTTAAATGCACTATTTTACATGGCAAACTTCATTTCAAATTTAAATTTTAAATTTTAAAGGTCAGTAATGTGACCAAATATAATATCATATCAGTGTCAGAAGAAAACAAAAAAAGGAAAAAACCAAACCCACGGGCCAATGATGTGTACAATTGATTAATCGAGTGCGGGCAAGCATATGATCCAATTGATAAGCTCATCCAAAACAGACCGTTAGATCTACAGACTACAATTGTTCTAGTTCTGATTACAGATCCAAATCCAAGGATTAAGGAAAGGACCGAAAAGCCCCCACCCACATTGTTTATTAAAAAAAAAAAAGAAAAGAAAAAAGAATTAGACTACACAGGTACGAATCGGGGAGCCCTAGGGCCGGAATCGTAGTGAAACGGAGCCGCCGGGTGCTGCCATTTCTTAGTGACCGGCACCGGCGGCTTCTCCGGGTCGGATCCTTGAGAAGAAGTGGATGGTTCCCGCGAATTTTGGATCTCTGTGGGGGATGAGGGAGAAACGAGCGGCGATAGCAGAGGGATGGCCACTTTCCAATCGGAGCGGCTGATTTGGAGGGACGCCGGAGCCCGCCGCTGGAGGCGGCTCGGCTGTTGCTGCCGCCTAGAGCCGGCGCCGGAGGTTCTTCTCTGAGTGTCGGCCATGAGTATGAGGAAATTGGGGGAAAATTGAAGAAGAGAAGAAATGGAGGATAAGGAGTCGGAGGAGGAGAGGGGTATTATAGGGACAGGGGAGCATGTGGATTGCACGTTCTCACTGGGGCCCGCATACTTCTCACACGCGCCTCCCGCTATTTCATTTCATCCTTTTCTTTTTCTTTATTAAAAAAAAAACCTCTTTTTTATTGTTGGGACTTGGATTCCACATTGGAATGGTAAAATAAAAACTTTTAAAAAACGTTATCTCTCACGCTGTCCCTCAAAACTTACATATTCCTTATTCTCATCTTGGAACTTCGCACTATAATAATTTACTATCCGTAGTTTAAAGTTTATAATAAATTAGTTTCTATCACAAATTTTTTTTTATATAATTTCTTCCGTAATAAATTAATGGAGAACTAAATATTTTTTTGTAAATTATGAATACTTATACGACAACTTAATATTGATGAGATCTTTTCATGGTAGAAAATAAAGTGTGACAGGTTGTAAACTATGGAGATTGAATTGTTATATACTAAAATTCAAAAACTAAATTGTTACCAATTTGAAAGTATAAATAACTAAATTGCTATAATTTAAAGTTAAAAAACTAAATCGTTACTTTAATGAAAGTACTGGAATCAAATGTGTTTTTTCACTTTTTTGTAATAACATGTTTTCTAATTTCATAGTTGATTAAATATTACAAATTCGATGAATTGTGAATGTCAAATTTTGTGTCTAATAAATCTTTAATGATTCAATTATAGCAATGAAAGTAATATGTCATATGACTAATTTTGAATGGATGCGTTAATGGGACTGATTTAGGTTAAGAGAATAACTAAAAATAAATAAATAAAATACTATACACATAATTTTACTGGTTTAGTATAGACATTGAAAATTTTAAAAGAAAATATTTATGAAACAGAAAGGAAACTTTTAACAAAAAATCCTATACATTTATTATGAGAGTAGAAAATTCTAGAAATAGGGAGATATTCTTAACTTGTTGTTTTTGTTTTGTTATGGTTGTGTTTGATTTGAAAGGAATAAAATTTGGTGCATAAAATACAAGGAATTCGAAACCTTGCCTTTTGAGTTTTGACCAACTTATTTTATGGTTGAAAAGGTTAATGAAAAATTCCAAACCCCTCCATATTTAATTCAAATTTCCCGGTTCGGATTTTTTTTTAATAATTCAAAAACTTTTCTTGCTTATTTTAACAAATTATTCAAACAAAAAAATTAGCAAATATTTTGGGTTTCTTTTTTCTTACATAACTATTAAATGGAATTCCAAATTAGAGTCGATCCAGCTCCACTAATTTTATCTTATATTTAAGTGCAGATTTTTCATTATTTTACTTCCAATTTTTAATTAGTAATCAACAATATTAATAATTGCCATGAGATTTGATACCTTGGGAACCAGCTTTAACACGTGGCGGACAAGGGTGACGTGAGGCATGGCGGTGACAGGTGAGAATCCGACGTGTCATCGAATTGACCAGTCGGTAACAACGTTGCGGCGGATTATGAATCAAATGACGTCAGGTTTTAAGGTACGTGGTCAAACGTGATCCTTTGAAAATGAAGAGATAAGAGTACACGTGGATGGTGGATATTTGTTTTATCGGAACACCACTGGTCTGGAATAAAATTTGAAGAAAACTAATAAACGTAAGTAAAATTACCATTTTGTTTCTGTCATTCTCTATAAATTATTTGATAAAGCTGCTCCAACATGTGACGATTTTATATTATTCGAAGTGTGAAAACGAAATTACACGACTATATTATATTCATATATCGGAGAAATACATGTCAATTATCGCTGTGTTACGTTCACTTTTGACAATTGGATATATAATTTAATCAGGTAAGATTTAGACAAAAAACTGATTTCTTCATAATTGATATTATTAAAGCAACCACGTGACAGGACACAATTATTGGGTGTTGTAGTGAATTATAAAGTGGAGTACATTTAAGAGTAAATTTGACTCATAACAAAATTTAAGTGTAGTTTTGATAAGTCTGAAAGTGGTTGAATTGGTGTACGAATTGAAACATATAATATAGTGGTGGGTAAAGTCTTAATTTAACCTAAGAAATTTTTGACAAAATAATAAAAATGTTAAATTACAAATTCTGTCCCAAATGGATAGACATAATTTTAATCTTGCCTTAAAATTAGTTTTTACGATTTAGGTTTAGCTTCGGATTTCTATGGTTTAAATCTCACATGTTGTACTAAAAAAAGAGTTCCCATTTAATATGATTTAGCTTCTTTCTTTTTTTTTTTTTTAATGTTCAAAGAAGCCTTTAGTAAATTTGGTTTAGTAAATCTGGGGTGGTACTTATTTTTTTCCTTGTTTTCGTCGCTGAATGCATCCACTGTCTGCATGTCAATGGAGGAGTGTTTTCTATTTATTTAACTATTAGTTGACTATATGTCAAAGTGAGCATAGCTCTGCGATAATTGACATATATCTCTTTTGTGATAACCAATCCGGAGAATTAAATTATAATTTTTAGAACCATATCAATCAAGATTTTTTTTAGTACAAATATGAAAAGGTGAGGATCGAAGATATATATATGTCAATTATCACTGAGCTATACGCGCTTTGATATCATATTCAACCAGATTGAAAACTAAACCATTGATATTTTTATGGAAAAGTTCAACTTCTAGCGATGAATTTAAATAATTCAATCAATTTAAACTTTAACCCATTAATTTCATCCATCTAAACTCTAAAAGAAATTGACCAAGTGTTGTAACAACCAGTTAATGTCAAATAAATGCACAAATCCAATCACAAACAATCACAGATTCACACCAAAGTCAAAGCATATAAAAACCTAATTTAACAATAAATTTCGAAACAGTCAAACAGAACAAATACTTGAAAGGGGTAATATAAAAAATAATAATAAAAATCAATTTGGTTCCTAAATAAATTTAACGAAAAAGAGGAGTTGATAATATTCCTCTACATACATGTATTATAAAAATTTTAACGATCGGGTTTCAATTCGATAAAATTTATAAAAAAGATATAAATTAACATTTTTTATATAGTCAATATATTGACCACATATATAGAAATAGAAATAGAAAATAATAAACATATAGAAATAGAAAAAGAGAATAAAATTTGAGAGAGAAGTAAATAGGAGGGTCGGCAAATGGAGCCAACCCTATGGAGTTTCCACAAATTATGTCGGCCATATGTCTAGATTGCCATACAGCACTCGCCCATCCAGAGGCCAGCGTGGCATATTTAGCCAACCGACCCTTTTAAATTTCTAAATCTGTATCGCCACCCCTTTTATACTGCCCCGCTCCCTCCTCCCTCATCTTCCTTTCCGATGTGGGTCTCCTTCTCTTCCACCTTTCATTTCTTTTTCTATTTCTCTATTCTATTTCATCAATTACTAAACATACAGCGGTATTAGTTTTGATTCGAAACAAAATATGTCTTAATCAATTGAGCTGAATTCGGGTTTACGTTGATCATATCAATTATAATCTGTAATCAATTCAGCTCTCATCAAACTGCTCACAGGTGATTTAGCCTGTCCCACTTCGTCCTCGACCAGTATTAGAACTTTCTTGGTTCCCATGACAATTTAGTTCTTAAAATATATATGGACTCGTTTGATAACGTTCCTGTTTTTCTTTTCATGAGAACAAGAATGGATAAACTTGTTCGTGAAAATGTTCCCAAAAATGGAGAAATTATAAACAAAATTAGTTATAAAATGTTTAGATTTCTTAAAAAAATTAGAAATGAGAAATAAGAAACAGGAATGTTGTGAAATAGACTTACTTTTTATTCTTATTGATGGTCATCATTTACATTTTAAGTATTTTGTAATATGAATTGTGTTGGCGATACTACTTTATTAGGTGAATCTTGAATTTACATAAAACCAATTGAGAAGAGATTTGACAGGAAAAAGATGGCAGCCAATCCAGAACATAGAGGCTAAAATTGAGACTTCAAAAACAAATTCAAAGACAGTATAGTCTTCAAGGACCAACTGAGTATTTGAAGATTCTTAAGAATCTAAATTTATGTCACTCAAAACAGAGATTAGAGAAACAGCAAAGAAGATCACCAAACTGTAAGCTCCATGAGAGTCGGAAATTTTTCTGAGACTTCAGCTTCACAAGTAATACCCATCCTACATGAAATGGCAGGTCGAAAAACATATCTATCAATATGAAACTTCCAAGATTTGCCAAGATATCGTTCAACTCGACGATTCTACACAAGAGCGTTAATCAAGATCCGAAAAGATCCATATCAACGTATGATTCTATAAATAAGGTCAATTCAATAAAAGACTCTAATCCTCTGCAAACAGTTTGAATGGAGAAAAACATGTGCCTAAATCCCCTTCATATTTTGTCCGTAATCTTCCCAATTCCCAATTCTCAACGCCAACCAACATCTTGACAGTCAAAAGAGTACTACAATTCCTAGAGATGAGTAAAATCTATTATTACAAAAAGGAATTATTAGATAGGAAGCCTTTTTCAAGAACCCACACTAATATCCAGCAATTCAAACCCGCCTTCTTTCCACCCGAGCCCTGAGTGACGGGAATGGAAAGGAACGATTTCGAGTTGAAAGTAGTGGCTTCTCTTACATGTCTAGTTTGTTTTGGCTTTGTGTGCTCTCTTCTTCTGCTGCCTCCTCGAAATGGAGTTCTTCGTCCCGATGAAGAAGAGCAATGCACCAGCAAGTGCCACATGCTGCAAAGCGAACAATAAAAAGGAGTCGAATCGTATCCCCAAGAAAATGAAGTTTAGTGTAAAAGCAAGTCAATTAGATCAACTGACCAGTAAGAAATCATTCAATAGTATGCTAAATTGGGACTTCTCACGACCGTAGTTGAAGAAATCATATAAAATAGGGGTGCTAATTGCCAAGTAGAGAAGCTGCATAAATAAAGAAACTTTGCTGCTATGATGTTGATGGGAAAAAGAATAAACTGCAAAGTAACTTCTAAATAATAAAGGTATTAAACCCATGAAGAAGTAAATCAAATTCTACCAGAAGATAAGCTCCAATTGGGCTGCCAAATACAAAGAGAAGGCCACCAATGCCTTTAAGAGACAGAAATGCAGCAACTAAATGGGAAATCTGTGCAACAAACTCGAAATCTGAGTATGAGAGAGAGAAGAGTACGAAGGTTAGCAGTTCAATCCACGGAAGAATCAAAAGCTTACATCGATAACAGGTAGGTTGAATCCAAATATGGAGGAGACGTTTCTCCTGAAAGCATTCAACTTCGGCAGCAATTCCTTTGCAGCAGGTCCACCATCAGTGCCAAATTCGTTGAACCTAAAAGTAGATGCCTTATCAATATCAACGTAAAGGCAGAAATTTGAAAGTTTGGTCTTACTAATCATGTACTTCACTTAACATGAAGAATAAGAACATAGATCCCAACCATGCAATAAGCCAATAGTTCTTGAAGTTGTAGAAAACAATAATTACAGGCACCCCAGACTTTAAGAAGAAAGCAGACAACATAGATACACTTTATTTCACTTTTTGTCGAACATGTTCCATTTCTTCTGTATATTACTCTTTTTGAGCAGGACCCCGGAGGCATAACGGAGGAATACGAAGCTTCTAGGATTGCCATGTGTTTGAATAATAATTCCCATTGACAAGGCAAGATAGCACCATAGTCCTCAAATAACATGTTCTAAAAACATAGCAGAAAGAAGTACTAATACTATAGACAATGAATTTTACATCGTGAAGACAACTCCTGATCTATTTTTCAAGTTGAAAAATTATTGAAAAGTTTCCAATCGAAATTCGAAGTTAAAATTTAATCCAAGTAAATAGCAGATCGTAGAAACAAGCAGAATATAAATCTAACACAACTTAAACTACACTACTCTTATATTGTATGAAAAATGAAAGTTGAAAGTATCTGCCAAATTTTTTTTGGTTTGGTTCCCAGAAAAAGGCTTAGAAAGCTCCAATGTTACCTAAAACAGTATGGTAATTTCGTTCTCCCAAGCTACTGAGATGGAAAACAAATTACCCCACAATGTATAATTCGTATGAATCAAACATTAATAATGATGCAAAAGTGAAGTGGGTCCAGTCCAGTCCTCAGGAATCAACTAAAACACCAGCTCCTTAAGAATCCAGCAAAATTCCCACAATATTCCCAACTGAATCTCAAGAAGTGATGGTTCAACATCCAACTTGCTAACAAACCCAGCAAATAAAAATCAGAAAAAGCTTTTCCAGTTCATACAAAAACAACAGATAAGCTGAGAACGAGGCAAGCAGACTTCCACTTCTGACTTTAAAAAAGGTATACGAATGAATCTCTCAAAATGGAAAAAAAAAAAATCAAGGTCAAACAAACACAACATAAGACCCCAAAAACAAGAACAGTAATCTTTTCAATTAGAAAACCAAGACGACCCACAACGACAATAGAGGCAAGCATGAGATAAAACACAGACCCAGCCGGAATCGATCATAATCAGGAACAGAAAAGCACCGGAATGGAACTAAAAGTAGCAGATCTAAAGTGAAAAAAACAACAGAAAAATCAGAGACAGAGATCAGAGAGATGATTTAGTCCGATCTAGAAATAGAGAGAGAGAGAGAGACTACATTTGCCAAGCGGAGAGGATGAAAAGGGAGGCAAAGAGAACCCGTCCAAGGAAAGAGAAGAACCCCATTTTCGTAGCAGAAACAAGGTAGAGAGAGAGCGAGAGAGAAGGGGTAATCTCAACCTCGGAGGTGGTGGATCGGAATCTTACGACGCCTCCGGCAGTCCCAACGGAGGGCGGAAATTATAGAGGGAGAGCCTAAAATGGTAAAATTGAAACCCCCAGATCGCAAGCCCAGTACAGTATACAACGAAAATTGGATTTTCTTTTTTCTTTTTTCTATTTACACACCTTCAAATGTCTCAATACACCCACCTGGCCACCTTATCAAATAAAACCGCGTCGCATTTACAAATTTCAAAGCCAAAAAAGAAAAACGAGCCATGTTTTAGGTCAGACTGATACTTTTTTCTTTTCATATTATAAAATAATAATCAGGTTTAAAAAAACAAATAATAAGGTTATAATAAAGTTGAAAATTTAGACACTCACAAATTATTTCTAAAGTACTTATTAAACATCATTCTATGGAGGGGTTACACATGTAATTTTCAATGTGTAGTTAAAAAATATAAAGATTTCATCTTTAAAAAAACTAAGGAACCTACATGATATTGTACTAAAAATTATTATTATATATTATTGTTAAAAGAAGTTTTGATTTTGATTTTGATTTCAATTGAATCACTTTATTATTTTTTAGATTATATAAATTTTCGTTGAAAAATGATATTGTTATGGTTATTAACATATTTACTAGGCATTTTCTCAACATGGACGTAGCTAAGTGTTTAAGAAATCTTATCCCTTTGTGTTGGATAATTAAGGTATTTAGTGGCTTCATATTATTTATAAAATAACTAATTATGTATAATTTAGGTGAGTTTCGCCATCTTTATTTTGTGGAAGATTTTTTTTCTTATGTAAACCAAATATATCATATTATATTAGTTAGCCAACAAATTTTGAAAAGTAATAAGTAGATTGGAGAGTATCCAACTTTGAATATTTACATATTTAGTTGTATATATAGTTTTTTTAGTATTATAGTTTAGGTTGGGTGGAGGTTTTAAATTTTAAGTTTGTAGTTGTAATTTTTCTCAACCACCAAAAAAAAAAAGGTTTGTAGTCTTAATTACAAGTATATATATATTTTCAATATGCCTCCACACTTTTACAAATAATAATTTAGAAAATAGGTAGAAAAAGAAAAGTATCTCTTAAAACTATAACACGTATAATAAATTGGTTAAGATATTGGTATATTTTTTTAAGATGTACAGTAAAATTTTCATCCCTCGTTTGATTTTCCTTTATGAATAATCTTATTTGAGTTATAATACAAAAAAAAAAAAAAATATATATATATATATATATATAACATATATGAAATAGTAATTTTATTATTAAAATATGACCAAATTTGTTGATGCATAAATTCAGATTCCTAGGATCTTGCCGAACTCGCACCAATCTTTTAGAATAAAGGGATTGACGAGGCAAACAGGTAGTACTAAAGATCGGTCGACTTTTGCCACACAAATTCCGATGTATCGGAGTAATGAGGTATAGAGAGTAAGGTATTTAGGCGGACCTCTAGAGTTTGGTTTACCTTTTTATTTATAGAAGTTGAACCCTAATCCTCTTAGGAATTATCGAAGCTGAATCCTCGTCTGCCTAGGAGATCTAGACTCCTAGGCTTGTGCGTCTCGTAACAGGCCTAGTGTCGAATCCAGGATCAAGATACACACAAACTTATGTCGAATTGTGTGGGATTCAGAGAGAACCATCGGGATTCTCAACGAGGGAAGTCGAGAACTCCTCAGTCGCCAAGATGGTCCTGACCCAAGGCCTAGTCGGCTATAGCTGACCTAGGTGGCCGGATCTCAACTTCCTTACGTGGTGAGTCCATTCCTTCCTTGGCCCGTCTCTTATCTTCTGCTCGTTTTCCTAATCTCCGTTTATTTTCCTATAACAGACCAAATTGAAAAGAAATGCAAATATCTTTCTAATTCAACGTCATTGTTTTTAATCATAAATTTATATAGAGATAAAAGATTAAAAAAAATCCAAAAGATAGATTCTTTAAATATGCATCACTCCTTTTCTTTCAGGAAAATATATGCATCACTCTTTTAAAATCATAATGATTATAAATTTATAATTATATAATGGGGAGGCATGGCCCCCATGCCCTCAGTAGTGGTCTGCCCTATTGTATATAACGTTGCACATCAAATAAATATTAATTGCAACTATATGGAAGAACTATTATTCACTTCTTTTTTAACAAACTATTATTATCACTTTGAGTTACTTAAAAAACAAAATTAATAATGATAAAGGATCTTTGAGTAATTAATGTTGGGTTTATCAGTTGGACTTTAATTAGACTCGTCAAGTTAGCATTGTATTCAATTCTCATACACTATGTTAATCAGATGAATTAGGAATGCTTTTTCTTTTCGGGTGAGTATAAAAATGTGGAATTGAACCTTCGACTTGTAAGGTAGAAACAAGATGCTTTGATCGTTCAACTATACTTCTATTGGTAATTAGATGACCGTCTGGAAACTAAAGAAAAATAAGTAAATTGATAAAATTTAACGTTAATCACTCATTTTTTATTCAACGACATGTGAGGGTGAAATACAAACCTCTAAGCTTTTGATCAAAATTTATGCTTTAACCCATCAAACTATATTCAGGTTAACAATGTCAATCATAATGTGGGGTTGGAAATTGATCAAAAAAAGTATACATTATTCTACTTTGGTGACATTTTGCACACCCAACCTCAAATCAAACTTACATCCCCATCTCCTTCTCATTTATCAAACTTGTCATTCTTCCCCTCGATTTGATCACCAAACTAGCAATTAGTTGAACAATTATTTACACACAACCCGCTCAAACTTGTAGGTTTCTATAAATGGTGAATTGTTGGTATCAATTTGTGCCCAAAATCAACACTGATCAATTAGTGTACAGCCCTACACTACATATATAAGATCTAAGAACATTGACTAATTTCAAAACTATTAATAAATATCCATCATGACTAAGATCTGTGCTTAAAATTGTCCACTCTGTTGATGTACATTAAATAAGTCATAATGTGAGTTAGGGAATTCTCACTAAAAAAAGACATATATAATAACATTGTAGCATTCAAGGAAGACCAAACTTCACTAATTATACAAAATTAAATGCGAGTCATTTTAACAATCCAACTTCATTACACAACTTCCTTCACCTACCCACTAGTCGTTATCATTTTTCTTGAGGGTGGAGTGAGGTACAAGTTAATTAATTTAATTTGTTGGTTTCTATTCAATTAAAAACTCCTCCCTCTTCCATTATTGTGTATTATTTTAATTTCCTTTTTGAAAACTTTAATCTTTAATCCCTAGCCATTTGAGAAAATTTTCATTATATGAGATTTGAAAAGATAGAGACTCAAGACCGAGTAACATATGTTACATCAGAAGATTGTTGATTCTTTTTAGTTTCAAACTCTTAGAGATATGGGAGGAGAATCTGAGAAAACACAAAATTTACCGATATACTAACTTGTGAATGCAGCACTTCACGCACAGGATTCAACGAACTCAAGGTATTTAAGTACTCGTACAAAGGGAAGAAGAGAGAATTTTGAGGGATCAATTTTCTGTGTTCAAAATTGAAAAGAAATCACAATTTATAAACTATTTGAGGCCATTCAAATAGTCACATATTTTCGTATAAAGTAATGTCTTTTGATAAAGAACATATTCTTTTATATAATGTGTAAGGATGTGAATTTGAACCTTCAACTTTTTGGTCAAACATATATGTTTCAACCAGAATCTTATATTGAAATGATAAGGGATTTAACAAAGTTTATAAGATACMTGAGTTATTTCTCCCCTCAACTATTTATTTTTAGATCGAACATATGAATACTGATATGATATTAGAGTCCAACATTCCACACTGAACGCACATCAAGCCACGAAACTTATGATTTTCTTATTTAATGAAAGAGTTTCGTCAGGTTAGTTTGTATGGCTCGACCTAATTGAGTCGGGTGGCTCAGTTCTAGTTAAGTCGGGTCTTGTCCAGTTAGATGGTTCGAACCGGATGGGAAACAAATAAAATAAAATAGAAATTGGAGAGTTATGGGATGGGTTGGGGCAGCATCAGATCTCATCCTCCTTCCTTTAGTCCCAATTCATAAAGCGCAAAGTTAAAAGTCGGCTACTCAGTTCACGTGCATCACGTGCTTTGCTTCTCACCTCACTTGGACTCCATTATTTTGTTTTATTCTATTCTACTTCTACTTAAATATATCATTTTTCAAGCCCTCCTTTGCAAAGTAAATTTTGAAATGGCTTAGTTTATAATTTTCAATAAACGGCTGCTTTTTGTCCCATTGATTTCTAATCAAAACCATCTTTTATTATATATATATTTTTATATCAGAACATACCAAACACCTTACATTTATATAATAAGTCTCTTTAAAGAGTTTCAATTCAGGATCAATCCTTTCATTTGTTTCGAAATATTTATTCGTTAGTTATTTATATAAAATTTTATTTTTTTAAATTTAACCATATGTTTGGGATGAGCGCTCGATCCTTTAACTTTTTGGACAAAGATATAAATTAGTTGAATTATCCTTAGTTTTTTGGATCTTTTTTAAGTAAACGACTACTTATGCATGAATTTAATTAAATATAAGTGATAAATAAGGCGGATTTGGATCTAGTAATATAAAATTGTGGGTTGCTAAGTTGAAAGTTGGAAACCACGATCTAAATATACCCTCAATATTTAAACATAATCAACTCATTGGGGAAAAAAAAGGGACAAGTCTTTGGGTACATGCAATGCAATGCAAGAATGGGCATTAATGTATGGAAAAATTAGATCTCAAAATTAGAAAAAGGAAGAAGAAAGAAAACAAATCACACACCAATAATTTTTATATTTTTCCCACTATCTTTTTCTGCATTTTGTCTCCTTATTCTTGTGAGAATCTGATTTATTCAAGACCAACCATCCTTCCTTCCAAAAGAAAAATGTCATTGCCAAATATTATTGCTCCCATTATTAATAATCTTCAACCATATAAAATTTTTACATCACATTATTTGTGTAATTAAATAGTATAATTTTCTAAAGAAATTCAATTTAGTGCATGTGGATTGGACTTAATTTCAATATGGTCCCTACATTTTGGTTAAATTGCACAAATTAGCTACCTAAAATACCACCCCCTTTTTTCTATATTTTTACCTAGTCAAAAACCTTTAAAAAGTCAGCCTAAATGGAATACATCACTTCATTGCTATGTGAATAGAGAACTAGTTTGCATATTCAATAGAGCGGACCATTTTAAAACTTTTAAAATTATATTAACACTAATTCAAAATTGAAACTTTTAAAACTATAGGAATCAAAATTAAATAAGTCGAAATCATGTGACCAAATGAGGTAATTTAGCCTTTTGTATATTTCTAATACAATTTATTTCTTTTTGGGTTAAATTACATAAAATCATTTTTAAAAAGTAGAAAAATGAAAATCAATTTTTAGGATGAACCTGGCAATGGTGTGTCAATTTTTCGATAGATTTTCATTTGAAAATTTGTTGGAAAAAAAAAGAGCTCATATGTGAATAAATTTTAAACATGTATTAGGTATAAAATGGATAAAATTCGGATAATAATGATAGAATCAAAGCAAAATTTGTTGTCTCTTTACGACACACAGCTAATTTAAACGGATTGGTAAATGGCCAATCAGTAAATGGATTACACGGAAACAGTTGGGAATTTACAGAGTGGCATTACTGTAAAATGTTGCCGGAAAGAGGGGCATTTATATACAATAACAAATTCCATAAATGCCACGTAGCCACTCTCTCACGTAGAAAAACGACGGACTCGCTCGGTCACACAGCCACGTGGATGCCTTTTTGCCAATTAAACGAAGATGATTGGCTGGAGTACGTGGAGGCTAGGGGTGGTCAGCGCAGTCAAATCTCAAACGAGAGTACAGATAAATTCCACAGTCGCGCGAGTAAAACGTGTAAGAGAAACACTGTTTTAGGCGCCGAGTTTATATTTAACAGAGAGAGAGAAGCAGAGGAAACGCGAAAACGGAGACGGAAGTTTTCAGACACTGAGAGGGAAAAAAAGAGGAAAAAAAAAAGAAATTTCTTTTGAGATTTTTTTTTCCCTTTAAGGTTCTGTGCTTCTTTTTCTCCTCTTGTCTCGGTTTCGAAATCTCCGTCGGAATCGGAATCGGAGTTGTTTCTCTTTGCAGCCATGGCTTTCGTTTCCTTTGTCGGAAGAGTTCTCTTCGTCTCGGTTTTCGTTCTCTCCGCTTGGCAAGAGTAAGCAGCTCAGATCTACTCTTATTTTCTTGCAATTTTTAGCTAAGCTTGAGAAAAATCTGGGGTTTTCACAGTGGAAATTTGAATTTTCGGATGTAGGGTCACTTTCTGAATGTCTGTCGAGAAAACCCTCATTTTAGCCCTAATCGATGAACTCTTTAAGTTTCGAAATCATGGTAGCTACTGTCGTTGGCGTGTTATAAGTTCAGATCTCTAATTTGATAGCGGAAAAAAGTTAGTCTGTGTGAGTAGAAATGATGGGGGGGCTTCTGTTTTGTTCACTAGTGGACAATGTGTTTGTTCTTAGTAATTTCTGGATTTTTTAAACCTAAAATGGTAACATTGGTTAGAATGCTGAAAATCTCTATTTGGGTTCTTTTTCTTTTATTCTTTTGGATCTTGATCTCTGTTTTTGGTGCCTCAGGTTCAATGATTTTGGTGCTGATGGAGGACCCGCAGCCAAGTATCTGAAACCAAAATTCAACGTTTTCTCTCACAACTTTGCAGCTCAGACTGGTTTAGAACTCCCAAAAGTTGAGGTGAGAAAAATGGTGATTAGCTCATTATTGCTTCGAATTTCCAACTTCCATTTTTAAGTGACATTTTGGGAGCTGTTATGGGTACAGATCCTGCATCTTGTGGCTGGTGCCATAGCTCTGAAGGGCTTGGGAAGCCTGCTCTTCATCTTCAACAGCTCCATTGGAGCCTTTCTACTGGTATCTTTATGTGAAAAATTTGAAACTTTTATCAATTTGTTGACCAGAATGAAATGGATTGAATTGTTGAATAATGCTGGTTTGTTTTTCTGGGCAGATCTTGCATCAGGCCATTACTACACCCATCTTGTACGATTTCTACAACTACGATGTTGAGAAGAAGGAATTCAACCAACTTTTTGTGAAATTCACTCAGGTAAGTTTAAATTGCAAATTTGATCTTTGTGGTTTCAAAGATTCGAGTAAAACATCAATAGATTTTTGGGTTGGTAAATATGGGTTGGGGATGGATGATTTGTGAGGATTAACCAGGACCAAATTGAAACTAGCTCAAAGCAGAAGGGGCTAATTGAAAGTTATAAAACCATAGGCATCAAACTGAAACTAGTCCTCAGCAGACTAAATTTAGACTTTGTAAAACCACAGGGGGAAATGGAAAATTCTTAACTGGTATCACCCATGAACCTCATTGTTTCTCTCCTAAAGTCTCATCTGAGTTGGAACTGATCTCATAAAACTGTGCAGAATCTGGCATTGTTGGGAGCGTTGCTGTATTTCATCGGCATGAAGAATTCGATTCCGAGGAGATCGCAGGCAGGGAACAAGAAGAATCCCAAGTCAAAAACATCATAGATAGCATCGGATGCATTAAGGAGGAACAGAGCTGAAAGGAGAGGCAGGCGGCGTATGTTTTTCTTTTATCTGTAGGTCTCTTTTTGAACTGATAATCTCTTTCTTTTAAATTTTTGGGTGTTTCTCGAATTGGTAGTTCTAGTTGTTGTTGCTTCTTGGAGAGTGTGATGTGTTTTTTTGTTTTGTTGTTTACTGTTTGTTCTTCGGACATGGAAATTTTTTTGGGTGTGTCGAGAAATTTCCAGGTTGGGGGTTAATTAATTATGTGATTGTAATGGAAGTTCTTTCGCATAATTTTGAAGTTTCTTTTCTGGATTATTTTTATGTTGTTGGAAATTTGGAAATGAGACATTTCTTCAAAGCGAAGGAGACGGTGGGAAATGGAAATCAAGGTTAAAAGGGAAGTTATATATAAAGAAAATCATGTTCTCTGCATTATTTTTTCAATGATTTATAATGCATTATTATGACCTCGTTAATCTTCTTTCCTTTTTTTTTTTCCCGTTGATTGTTTATTTAAATTTTGGTTATTGGTTTTATTTAGTAAGTCAAAATTTATTTAATAATAATAATTATTATAATGATTTTATTCTAATTCTAGAATAATGTTGAGGCGAGAGAGAAAGATAAGTTGTAAGTAAAGAAGTTTTAGAGAGAGAAAATGTTAGAAAGAGAAATTTTAGACAGAAAAATAAGCTTGGAGAGACAAAAGGTCAAAGAAAGAAAGTTAGGCTAAGAGTGGAAAAGTTGGAAGAGGAAAGATAAAAAGTATTTTTTTCCCTCCCTCCTC